TAACTGAATGGAATTCTCTTCTGATCTTGTGTCCAGCGATAGAAAGTGTTTGGCACAAGACATGGACAAATGAGAAATATTAGCAGTCTACAGATGACAAGCTTCATCGGTGGAGCGTCTGTGACTCAGTCATAGTGATTACACTATGATTACACCCAACACCAGCCGACAGGATCTAACAGTATGTGCTGTACATCGGCGTTTATTTTAATACTGCTGATTTCTACCAGCGGAGGCCAGTAGGCTCTGTCGACTCATGTGAACCATAATTATCTTGACATGGGATGAAAACTGAGCCCTGGTCAGCCCAGAGCAGAGGGGGCTTTCTGTTCAGTTGTAAATAGACCAACGTATTGTTCTTTTATTGTCTTGCAAGAAAAGAGACAGTTGTGCAACAGGCCTTTTCTCTGTTGCAGTTCGTGTTTCCAGCCCCCAGCCCCCAGCCCCCTTACTCCACTCTCCACCAATGGCCTCCTCCTTTTTTACTCGGCCTCTCCTTTGTACGACTGCTCACATCTGGTTTTGAGTCAAGGCCAGGTTGGTTTTCTTTGAGGAATGGAGAGATTTTATTTCTCAATGGCCCCACTGACTCTCCAGTTTCATGCTGTGATGAAAACCATGCAGTTTGTTTTCAAACCAAGGCTGTTTTTTCCAATATTCATACTTTAATATCTTCGTCTTTATTAGGGAACCTAACAATTTTACCCAATTATTGGTCAGCAGATGTGGGAAAGCTGAATGGTTCTTTGCCGTTATGACTTTTTTGCGGCGACCTCCACAGTGTCATTTCCAGATCATTTAGTACTTCAGAAAACCTCTGGATCCTGGGCAACCCTCACTGCAAAGTCGGGTTTGGACAGACTGCCTTGTCCTTTGTCTGTAAGGAAAGGATGTGGTACTCTTGTTATGAGAGTTGACGATTTACTGAGATTTTTTGAAGATGAGGCTATGTGCTGACACAGCAATTTCTCTGATGGGTTTTGGCCCACTTTTTATAAGACCCATATGGGATAAAGCACTGCAGAGATAGGGTGAACAGTATAACATGAAGGAAAGACAACATCGCTGTCCACAGTTTATGATGATTCTAAAATAAATGTACTTTTTGTCCATCAGTTGAAACAAACAGCTGGTCTGACAGTCAATGCCATCAGAAGACTCAGACTTATGAAGGAGACATATTGAAGGACAAAAAATACGCAAAGAAAATATGAACGTAACCAGAGCCATTTTCAAACTTGGAATGAGGATTTGGTGCAAAAGAGAAACGCAGCAGATCAAGGACGTCGTAAAGGGCCCCCTGTGTACTATAACAGTCTGTGCAGCACTTTTAGATTACAATGCTGCTAAAAAACAATAAAAAATACAAGTCTTACATGAAGTCGATCAGAAAAGACGACATCTTGAATTGCACCTTAGAGTCCTTTAAGTTCCTTTACGATCTGACGATCTTGGAAGGATATTCCTTTTGTCAACTCCAAGATGTCACTAAGGAATACAACAAAAACAACATACTTATACGATGACGTTTGGCTGTTCTTCCTCGTCCTTCTGATAAGGTAAATGTCAGACTTGGGATGTAAGAGTTGTATATCACTGCTGTGTTTTTATGAAGGCATCAGAATACCATTAAAGGTCGAGTATCAAGTGCTGGATTTGTTCAGCGTTGGCTGAAATAACAGTCTTCAAACTTCAAACACGCATCATGTTCAGCTAACAGAAGAGATGATGTAAACAGAATTCTGCGTACTCCCGCTGTACTTTTATAGCTTAAACATTTTCCCCTGCTCATTACAACATACGCAAACCACAGAGCTTTGAAATGAAGAAGTTTCCAGACAGTATTCTGTTTTTGTATTTTTTCCAGCATATATTTGCACTCACACTCTCATGCACACTTCAGATCAAGTTGCCATATTTCATACCCCGGGGCCAGAAAACTGAGTAAACAATTTAGCCGTGTTAGCCTGCCTTGTTTTTGACGATGCAGATCTTGAAATTAGTGGCGCTTGTGTACGTGTTTTGAAGAATACACCAAAAGAAGTGAGGATATACTTACATATTTAGGTGCTGAGCTGTAGGGGGGATATGGAGGGGGAGGAGGAGGGGGGTGTTAGAACAAAGATGTGCAGTGTTTTCAGCATGAGGATGGGTGGTGAGCAGGCAGGGAGAGAGAGAGAGAGAGCTGGGGGATGTCTGATGTCACCTGGTATGGAGCTATGAAAGCTCCTGGTTACCTTATACCACATAAAAGTCTGGCAGGAGGCTGAGGCTTCAGGAAACGTTGGCAGAACGGTTGCATTAAACAGGAACAAACGTCACCCATCGTCTCTGTCTCCTGTGTCTTAATGTCTGGGAGACAGAACCTGTTTACACGAGTTCTGTCACTGCTTATTTTCAAACCGTTTTTTTGTTTTTGTTGTTGTTGTTGTTGTTTTTAAAAAAATACCTTAAATCTCGTGCTTGACCACGCCCTTGTCACTTCAGTCTTCCTCGTAGCTAATATCAACAGCGTATGTAGATGTGAAAGCCTTCAACTCTTTGCCCCAAACTTTGCGAACACATTTGGTTCACAGAGCGCTTCGTGATCTGATAGTGGAAGAATGAGCGCCGCGCGATGCCAGAAGTCAGTTAATTACACATGTGGTGGGCAGATTTGAGCTCGACACCGTGGGCGATGGAGATGCCATGTATTTAGACGTTAAAGCTGCAGACTGTGGTCAGACCCAGTCTGCTCTCTCATTAGCTTCTCCAAATGGATGTAATGGAGGTGTGTGGGGGTGGAGGGGTGGACAGCCGTGTGTTCAACTCCAGCTCCAGTCTTAGTGCAGTCAACAAGACGAGTGCTGATTTCAATTAGCAACCAGTTTCACTTGACACTCGGTTTATTTGGTTCTTTTCATTAAATCCGGCGTCGGCTCGTGTTGTTCATTTAGAGGTGCTCATACCTTCCTCTGCTGCCTCTCGGGAAGAAGGATATGGAGAATCAATGGCTGCCTTTGATGTTGCTTTGAGCTGCGCAGCAGTATGTCTATGTGAACTCCCTCATCTTTACACACTGCCCTTCATTAAAGGACCGCGGTACAAAGGAGGAGAGATTAAAGCCTCCGTGGCGGAAAGGAAGCAACTTGGCTGCAGAAAACCACAGATGGTGGATGTGTGTGGATTCACCGACACTTGTTTCTTAGAGTGTGTTACTGTAATTTAAAATAAAAAGCTGAGTCTTTAGGGCCCAGGGAGTGGCACCGGTTATCTGAGCCATGAGACACGTCCTATCTGGCTTCAAACAAACTGCGTCCTCCTCTGCTCCATCTTCTTATCTGCACTTCTCTTCCTCCATCGTTGTTCATCTTCGTTTGCCTTTTCCATCTGTTTCTTTCTTCACTCT